TTTAGATTCAAATTCTGAAAAGGAAAAAAATCACTCTATGGCTTTAACAACATTACCTTTGCACTTGAAAACAACTCACTGATTAAGAATGCAAATATGGTTTAATTTAATTGTTACACTAAATGGTTTTAAATAAATGATCTTTAAATATATATATAAAAAAGGTAACAAGGGGAGGAGCTAATTAAACACCATGGGAACTAACAAGGGGAACCTTGAAAACAAACAAGACAGAGGGGCAAACAGCAGACCAGACCGGGCAAAGAATTGTGGGAGATAGAGTCATTTTTTAATATTTAATACATTATTAATATTATTTGAAATAACAATAGGGGAATACAAGGTTGTACAAACATATATGAGTCTATAAAACAATACAACCCCAAAAATTCAAATTTTTCAAAGATTAACTATATATCTAATACATCAAGTATCCTCTGTAATTGTTAAGATGTCTTAACAGCTTTACGATTGATCTGTATTGAAGTTAGAGAATCATAAAAAACCTTTAAATCAATGGAAAATAGTCTACCATTTGGTACAGTTAACATACATTTTGCTTTGTGTATGTGATATTTCCCCAATAAAACAATCATTTTAATGATATTGTCCATTTCCAGTAGACCGGTATCACAATCCAAAAACAAGAGCAATTACATCAGTTATAGTGACAAACTTGTAAAACAATTCAAAAATAAACAAAAAAACTTGGGACCAAAATGGTTTAGTATACAGTAATTACAACTGAAAAATAAATAAAAAATGGTTTCCGTCTCTTCTTTACAAAAACAGCATAAGGGCGAGAACCCTTCTTTAAACGTACTGATAAAATCATTACATGGATAATATCTATGCATTGTTTTAAAATGAGTTTCTTTGACTATAGGAATTACATATTTATTCATATCTGACCACGGATTCTGAAATAAAAGCGAGGGATAATCCTGTTTCCATTTCACCATTGCCTTAGGAAGAATACTTGTTTCTTTGAAAAAATGTCTTAATATAAAAGTTATTGAATTTTTTATCCCTGATAGAAAGGCCCCTGGGAGATATAGAGTTATTGATGGAGAGGTAGACGTCTGGGATGGAGTGCTCTCTGGTGGTTGTACAGGGCACTCCAGCTGGTGATCGTGACACCAATTGCCTGGTTCAGACTACACGATTTTAGCCCGATTTTGCCACGATTTGCTTGACGTAGGCTGTCGTGGGGATTCATAAACGACAATGGGCGTCAGGACGCAAGATTCCATCGTTTCAGCACGTGTAGTGTGTTATAGTGGACGACAACCGATTCTGCGTCTGCGATGCTTCACGACAGAAAGACTAGCATGTTTAATTTTTTTCTGTCGTCCACGACGAGTTCTGTCACATTGGTGACGTTGACCAATAGCAGCACAGAAGCTCGAAGGAAAGGTGGAGGAAAGGTTCGTGGAGCTGTGGCAACAGTACTCCTGCCTGTATGATGTGTCGTCGAGGGACTACCACGACAGAACAAAGAAAGAAAAATGCTGGCGAACTATAGCGGAAGCGCTTCAGCAATGTTTACACTCTTGTTTTCGGAAGTCAGTCGCTAGTTCTGCCGTCTCGATGACATGACGCGCGTCGTTAAAGATGGCACGCGATGAATGGTCGGGAAGCAACGTGTAGTCTGACATGTTTTTCATAATTTTAGGAGTCAAAATCGTGTGATCTGACACAGTGATTATCGTGACCGACAAAAATATCGTGTAGTCTGAACCCGGCATAAAGCAAACTCTGATCTCCATCACGGTGACATTAAACTTGACTATTTTCAACATTAACATTTAAACCTCTGTAATTCTCAATAGGAATTTTTGTATGAAATGAAGTCAAACTGGTTTGTAATAAGTGAAGGTCCAATGTGAAAATCCAATGTGTGATTTAAGTGTTCCCTTAATTTTTTGAGTAGTGTATTTTCAGGCACAAATACATATGTGAACATGAACATGATCAACATGCTTCTGAACACTAAATATTTCTATAATGGATGGTCAGTTTTGACCAATAAAGCTAAGATCAATAAGGCCTACAATCAGTCAGTATCAAAATTAAACACAAAACCAGTCCTAATTGAAGGAAAACTAGTTGACAAAAATATTGATACCAATATAGCATGACAAGAGATTTATGAGCTATTTTTTGCAGGCCGGTCATTTTTGACCATGAACACCACAAGTGTAACAAGGTTGAATAAAATAAAAAAAATGTTTTATGTAAATTAACAATTTTTGTAGTGGAGGTACTTATACCCTGTGTGAACAAAGTCAGTAAATCTTAGTCCAATGTGATAACATTAAGTAACATTTTTGGAAGAAAGAAAATTCTGAGGGTTAAACTGTTAAAAATGTAATGCAAATTTTTGTAAAAGTTTTTGCACTTTATTTAAACCAAAAGTACTCTAAATAATATTTTTCTGTGTAAAAAATTTGAATTGATACAATACTTAAAATAACAGCCAAATTGTTAATTTTACAGTTATTGCATTAGCAATATTAGCATATTAGCAATTTTATAGAGTTTATAAATAAAATGTAAAGTCAAGGAAAACAACTGTAAAAAAAATGGCGTTCTGTTAATTTCTTTCTTTATTATTATTTTTACAGTGTAATCACTCCTAATCATGTGCTCAGAAAATGAGACAATGATGGGTCTTAACAATATACCATTTTGTTTAAAGGGGTCATATGATGCGATTTCAATGTTTCCTTTCTCTTTGGAGTGTTACAAGCTCTTGGTGCATAAAGAAGATCTGTAAAGTTGCAAAGACTAAAGTCTCAAATCCAAAGAGATATTCTTTATCAAAGTTAAGAGTCAGCCACGCCCCCCTAAAACGGCTCATTCTAACACGCCCCCACATATCTACCTCACTATGTGGGAAGATTATCATAATGCCGCCCAAATGTGCACGCAAAGAAAGAAGGCGTGGTTTCAGGAACAGCAGTAGTGTTGATGCAGTCATGTCAGGGAGACGCTGTGTTTCAGTGCGAAAGCAAAAGCACTTTATTTGGCCTTCCGGAAGTAGATGCAATTAGGAATCATTGGTTAAGATTTATTTACAGCAGAATAGCACAACCCAGATGTTCGAATTTGTGCAACGCATTATATGGACAACAGTTTTTTGAACCTAGAAGAGTACTGTATAAGGCTGGCTGTGTAGAAAGGCTATTTCAAAAAATAAATAAATAAAAGGTTAATTTCCGACTTTGCTATGACAATCTGGCGCTTCTGAATTAGTGACTGTAAGTATGTTTTGTTATCAGTTCAAGTATTTGCTATTGACTGTTTTGCGCAGCGCAGAGTAACGCGTCGTGTGTGTGAG